ATTCAGGATGTAGTCACATTAGCAGGTAAATAGAACATGCTGCACTTCATCATTTTGCATCTCGGAAATGGCTCTATCTCAGGTTTTATAATACTTTATATAATGACAAATATATAATAAAAATCAATCATGTGTCATTATGTGTCATTTATTCTCTCTTCCAGGAAAACACATGCATTTTGATATTTATCCAGTGTTCTAAAATAGCTAATAGAGTTACATTTTACTAACAAGACTATTCATTTTGGTTGTCCCTGAAATGAATAGGCTTGTTAAAGAAGCAGGTCTTTGAGAGTTCTGCATTTGTCAAGCTGTTATAAAAGCAAAATGAAAGTTTAATTAATATTTTCCTTTTCAAAACACCTAAAAGATCTGTATATCAGCCCTATAGCTTTTAATAAGTACATATAACTCTCAGAAATGTACATATATCTAGGTCATGCTAATTATCCACCTTGGGAGGCAAGAATGTGCCTATACTCCTCTACCTAGTTGGCATACTCTTGAGACCCAAGTCAGAAGAGCAGGCTTCAGAAAGTCTAAAAATACATTTACTAGGTTCTTAGCCATTAAACTGCTTAAAGAGGAGGTCTCTCATGTACTAGCTGACAACCTGTAATTTCTATTATGCAGGAAATGAGACTAGATAATCAAAAACAACCTTTCTGGCCTTGAAGCCTATGAATCACAGAGAACATAAAAATTGCTGTGGTAACATGTAAGAAAATTGTCAGACATTAAAAGAGCCACACCATTTTTACTTTATTAGGGGCACTTTTATCATGTTTCTTGTGCAGATGGAATTTTGTGTCAATGAGCTCCCCAAGTCAAACCCTTACAGACTAACTGTAAAAACCATTCAAAGCATTCCCTCAAGCAGGAAAACTGAAACACCTTCATGGGAGAGCCTCAAACATATATGGAAGTGTGAATCAAAGAGAGGTTAATCCTTTTCAAACTTCAATATTTTGCTATGGTTATTTATTTTGAATACTTTGAAATGAATACTGCAGTTAATCTCATATTCAAGAGCTTTATGCTTTTTGGTATTTTTATTTTATACAGGTTCTCATAACACATTTGCAACAGGTTTTGGAGGTCTTCAAGTTATACTGTAAGAAATGAGCTTACCTTGTCATACAGTGACTGCTACACCAGATAAACCCCGGCCAAAATGTTGTTCTGGATTATTTGTGCAGCAAAGCTGGAGCTGTTCATGTCTGCCCTTTTATACAGGGAAAAATGCTTATACAGAGCTTGAAAATTAAATGAGAAATAGAAATTGTGGTCTAATCTAGGAAATGCTATGGACTAGAGGGTAACACACTCCCATAAGAGTGCTCTGAATTAGAGAGAAGAAAGATTTAAACTTATAAGACCCAGTGTCTTTTAATATAAAGACTGAAGTCAGCGTTCTAATATTTAGTTTCTCTTTGAACCTCACCATTCAAATTTATATTCACTGAGAGTTAAGTAGTCTTTTTTAGTTGCAATATGCTCACACAAAAGAAGAGGATGGAATCATAGGCTACTTTACTGAAGGACTTATTATTCTACATCAGAATTATCTTTATTCATGAAGACTTCAAACACTTCCTTAATGTTCAATTTTACTGCAGCTAGGAAAAGATCCTTTTATTTGCTAAAATTCAGGAAGACAAATGGGACTATGTTGTTTCTCCCAGAACATATGAAAAAAAATTAAGGAGTTATTTAATTCAATAGAGTTAGAATATTTCTAGTTTAAAAAAAAATCCAAACCTTTCCCTGCTAGTACATGGTGACTATCAGGGAGGAGGAGGAAAGCTAATTTTTGAGGTATATCTTCTATGCTTCATTACAGGTGTTCAGTTACACACCTTGCAGATTTAAACAGGCTCTGTGTTATTAGCATTTTATTGTTTGATAATTTATTAATACGATAGGTCAAATATATGTACAAGCAGCTGAATATGGGTCATAGGGAAAAATGAAAAATCATATTCACTTGGATAGGGAAAAATGTCTCTCCTACAGATTTTTCTTTATTCTTTTATGCATTAATTATTATTATATATTATGGAAGCATCTCTACGTGTAGCTAAGAGGAGGAGACTTCTCTTTTGGAACATGTTTGTCCTTGTTTTCTAATCTACCTCTGTGTCCTCAATGAAGCTGGTAATTATACAGCCATCAGTGAAATTACTCTGTGAGGGAAAGCCATAGAGAAATGGGATAAGGAATTCTGATTCAGACTGACAAGTGGGATTCAGATAAGGAAAAGCTGATTGCTATTTTTCCATGTCTGGATTGTGTTCAAGCCATACTGGTGTGCTTGTTACAGAGGAGCAAGCTTCAAACACGTGGCAAATCCATGGCCCTGGTTCCTCCTGTGCTGCTGCACGAGTGTGGGCGCTGCAGGAATTCTCTGAGCAGCTTCCTTCTTGGTCTCAGTGTCATCCCTCAGAACTGGCAGCATCTGGTATTCTCAGAGAATTAATTTATTGGGAGTGTTTGAGAACAGGGCATATTAAAATGTCACTATGAGGATGCTATCCTATGTTTGAAGGCTGATACAAAGGAATTGACAGCTAAAAGCAAAACAAAACATAAAAAGGCCATTCCAAAAACAATCCCAGGCCCTCCAGCAATTATAATTAGGTCGGTTTGTATAATTTATGTTGGATTATAATATTTAAATTCACATAAATGAGTACATGAGAGAAAAGCATCACACAATCTCTTTTTCCTTTATGTTTACAGTATATTTTATATTTTTTTCTTATCTTGTGTTGTGTCTGTTTGCAAGAGACATTGTTTAGCAGAAGAACTGAGAAAGCCATGATGTGTTCATGGTTGGACAGTGTCTGTCATTATGCTGAAGGACTGAGGAAAACCTAAGTGGCAGTTAAAGCATGAACTTTCTGTACCTCAAAATATGGTTCTCAATTCCTATTTTCCCTGTGGTGCATCTGCTGAGAGTTTTAACAGATGTTTGAGTATCAGTGAAGTGTGGTCATGACTCTTAATTTGGTCAGGCATGCTATTTGAAAAAAAAAAAAAAAATCTTTCCAGTACTTCAGGATGTATCTGATTCAAAATCTAGATTAATTTGTTTTTAGTAACTCAACATGGAACACCTTTGATTACTTCAGTTTTTGAGCTTATTGTAGTGGCTTTATCTGCAAACAGGCACTAGGAATGCAACCAAGCAGAAATTAGTGCCAATTTGGGATGGTTTGGGAATAAAAATTTATCAGCAGTAACATAGAGCAAGAAAGAAAGAGGAGAAACTTTAAATGTTGTTTCTAGGTGTGTATTTTTAAAAAAAGCTGTGCGGGTTGAATTTGGGATGTTTTTTCTTCTGCTTTGTTTTGGTTTTGGTGTTGTTTTTTGTTGTTTTGTTGTTGTTTGTTGTTTTGCTGTTTGTTTGTTTGTTTTTTTTTTTTAAACTGAGTAATAAACAGGGTTTCTGTGGTCTAAGAACAAAGCCACTGCATGTGTGGAGACCAATGAAATACTAATTGGATTACAGGTGTGCTTAATTATCGTGCACTAAAGGTGTTCAGTTTTCCTATGATCAAGGCAGTAGTGTGAATATGGACTGCAAGAAAGAGCTTATTTTTTTCTTAAGCTAAGTGGAGAGCTCAGAGAATACAAAGAGGATGAGTAAAGCTGACAGGAACTTTGCTAAAACTTTATGCATCTCTTGTCTCTCCTTTTTTCCTGAAGGACAGTGTTTTTCCTTATGGTGTGAATATTTAGCATTCTTTTGTGAAGCACTTTGCTAATTAAATACCTGTAGCACCTCTGAGATGCTTGCAGCGTGGGAGGACAATGACTTCTGGCACAAGGCAGTCAGAGCAGCTTGTTCTGGGTTATTGTATTCAAAACTTTTTCCCTGAAAAACTAAGGCATTAATAGAAAACTAGGAGGGGATACTTCAGTGTCCTGACATTTAATCCTGGTTCTAGACAGATTTAAAAACTGCCTGTGTTTGTGAAGTCTCAAAGAAGACGGGAAGGTTCTGAAGTGCCACAGAAGTACAGGCATAAAAGATTTTATTTTTCTATTCTTTTCTCCTACTGACTGTGTCTCCCTGTTGCTAGGAGAAAGGTGAGGTAACTGCTCCCAAATTTTTAAGATATCACAGCTATTTCCTGCCAAGTGTTTTCTCCTAGTACCGGCTGTTCCAATACTCAGTAAGCCCCCAAAAACCTTTAATAAAGCCAACCACTCATACATGTTTTTTCCCTTATATTCCAAGGGTTAGAAAAGGGAGAAGTGAAGAAGAATGGGAAGGTAAAAGAGCTTTTGCTGTGGGAGTGGATGACAATTTAGAAGTGGAAAACCCAGACCTGGCAATCCTTGGTCCGGGCCTGGCTTGAGAGTGTAGAGAAAACTGCCTGAGAGATCTGGAAGATGTGCCTTGTTCAAGCTCTCTGGTTGTACATTTAGTCTTTAAAAAGAACCTTGCTCATGCATTTCTGTCACTTTTGATGTGTGATCAGAATTCAACTATGCTACGTTTCTGTCAAAGGCTCTTCAACTCCAACGCTTCCATATCTTCAATTTTCATAATTGACTTGATAACAAAATTACTTAATATTAAGTTCATGACAACATTTTTCAAGAGAGAAAGGCTTCCTTCAACCATTCTCCTCCCCTCATTACTCTATTTTAATTCCTATCTCTGAAAGTAATATTAAATATTTAGTCTATAGACTTGATTTGATCATTACCTGTACATCAGCAAAGAATCTTTGCAAATACAATGAATTAAAAAGAGCTGTATGTATTTTAGCGTGGGTGATTTAAGCCCAGTTGGGAAGAAGGATATTATGAAGTAGATCTATATCGAGAGGAAGGTTAATGAAGACAAAACCCCAAGACCTCTAGGTCTTAAGCAAAGGTCTATAATATTTGCCTAACCAGATTAGCTCCAGGGGCAAAACTAAGTAGCAGAGTGCTCGCACATAATCAAGGAGGTGAAAGCAGTGGCAAAAAAAGAAAGATATAAGGAAAAGAAGGCAAAAGAGAGCAGAACAAAGCTCTCTTGCTGAAATCAGCAAGTGGAAACAGTCAAACCCAGTTTTATTTTATACCTTTTTTACCGATGACATGTAAATAGATCTTCTGTCCATTTCCACTAAAATTTCTATTATGTTTTGTGTATTTAAGCCTTAAATAAATATAAATAGATCAAATAACCTCTGATTCTCCAGAACATAAACATTTAGTTATAGCTTTTTAAAAGTAGGAAAAATACCAACTCTTACATGTGCTATTAGGTATTCTAGATGCCTATTCTATAACCACATTATTATTATATTTCAAAAGACCTTGAAGCAAAAATGCTTCAAGTCTAATGCAAAATATAAATGTATAAGAAAATAGAGTGAAGAGAATCAAATAGGTTGAATATATGTTATTATTTAGTAATGTGCTTGAATATGGTGCCCAAACATTTGTATTTACCCTAGAGAAATGTACTGAATTTTTTTATATCTAAACATGGAAAAAGGAGAGAAGCCTCACTATTTTTTAAGTCAAAAAATTTTATGAGGAAATAACATACATAACATGCATTACACTACATACATAACAGACATTACATACACTCAGTCATTACTTATGTGCATAAAAATGTCAAATAATCTGAAACAAAAGTAGCATTTTTTCAGAACTGCTGGGTTTTTTTTTAATAAATCCAGAAGCAATATCTGTATAAAATTACTCTTGAGCATGCTGAATGCATTTTAAATTTATCAGCAAAGTCCTTTAGTTATCAAGCTTGAGAACATTTATCCTATTCATTATTGACATCTCCCAGAATTCTTTCCATGGTTTTGTGCAAATAGCTTGGCAGCTTTTGGCAAATAGAGGTGATTTTCAGTAACATTTTTCAGATACTTCAAATTGAATTATATACCCAGAGACAGTCAATCTTTCTTACCATTAATTTTGCAAGAAAAAAAAAAATTCTTTTGTATTGAAGTCCAGCTCTACAAAGGGGACCTAAGCCTTGCAATGCTAACAGAGGTTTAACCAAAGGGCTGCCAAAATCCAGAATTAAAAACCCTTGCCTCAGCACACAGGCTTGTTCTGCAGTAGAAGGGGGAAATATGAAGTGCTTTAGGGTACTTTGGGAATTTTAGTACTGTGAAAGTGAAAACTGTGAGGTTGCTGAGTAAAGGTTGTGAGATCTAAGGAGTGCTTATCAAAATCTACTTTAGGAATTTATATAGGTCTCAGATTTGGCATTTCAACATGACAATGTTAAGAAGGCACACCCATGCCCACAGCTATGTGGCATTTTTTGGCATCTTGTAGCTTTCGTTTGTTACTTTGAATTCTAGTATATCAAACCATTTTATTTTAAAGTGGCTCAAAAAATATGCATTTCTAATTGTAATGATGGTTACAGACTCTTGACCTGATTGAAGTAACTCATTAAAATGTGAGATATATTGCCATTTGATTAGTCTGCAATATTGGGCAAGGCCCTTATTAGGCCTTTGGCCTCTTTTTTCATGCCTATTGAGGGTCTGGAAAGAAGGTCTAAACAGATGAAGATTACAACAATATGTGGAATCTTTGCATCATACTTAATCTCAAGGTTGGGAATAGAACTGAGCTGTAACCTGGGATCTTTCTTAAACATGGAGAGCAGAGTCACTTCCATGAAACAGGTTGATCCAGCAGAGACAACAGAGTCACCAGGATGGTGCAGTCTCACATGCACAGATCTTTTATTGCTGCTGACTGAGATACACGCAAGAAAATATTTATAGTTTTGGTCATCCTAGGCTATTTGGGGTGCAAAAAGATTTCCTTGCCAGAGCTCAGAGGTTCAGGACTCATCTGCTGTTATAAAAGTCAGTGACAGTGTGAAGGCTGGGGTGTGCTGAATGAGGTGCAGTCCAATGCATTGAGCTTGGTGTGTCATCTTGTAAACAGGTCTGAGGTTTCCTTCTAGCTGTCAAGTGCAGCCTTCTGCAGCTGTTAGGTGAATGTCTACATTTACAGATCAACTTTCAATTATTTAATAACTTCCTTAAAGAAAACAAGTGTTATTTTACAAGGTAGGATTGAGGGGAAAATGCCTTACAAATCCATTCAGAATTTGTATGAGAATTATATTATCAAATGTCAGCTAATAACTAGCACTTATTATGAAATTATTTATGTCATCATCTAGTTTTCAGTTGTCTTGGAGCAGGAATGCACATATTGTAATGGTGGTCAACAGCTGGACGATGATCTTCGAGGTCTTTTCCAACCCGAACAATTAAATGTTTTTTCAATGGGTTTTATGTATCAAAATAAGGACAGAGATTGCAAAATCAATATTTTTCTTCACAATTGTTCTTCTTTAGACTCTTCTGTGGAAGTTCTACTGTTCTGTGTTTTCTTTGGAAGGAAAGACAAAACACTTGATGCCCTATACCCAAATCTTACTTTTCAGCTGCAGGAAATGCTCCCACTCTGATAAGTAAGGTTTCAACATGCAAGCATGGCACAGAATGAAATTTCATTGGGTTATTAAGTGTCATGCTTTATTAAATCTGGAACCAGATTTTTCTGTAGCTACTGCCAATTGCCAAGCAGGACAAGCCTGAAGTCCAAGAGCATGGGGCTGGAAGTACAGGAGAAGATATGTCCATTGTGGTAAGTCCAGTATGGTCAAGATGAAAGAAGCCGTCAGGGATGGGCCACTAATTTCAAAAGGCACCTTTCTGCTAAGAAGGGGTCCTCAACAGGCAGAAGATGGTGGAGGGCACTAGTGTTGAATTCCTTTGTGGTGAATCCCAAGCTGGCAGAGCAGTTTTGTGGCGCAGATATGTGAGCAGTGGTTTCTCCACAGTGAGAAAAGTAGTTTTCATAGTCCATCCCTTGGTACTAACAACTAATTGCTCCAAATATGTAAGAGAGTAGACACTGCTATTATTTACTGTAAAGGAGTTGGATATAACTCTAGAAAAGCCAATATTCTGCCATGAAACAAGCTACTAATTTGCTTATGTGGTAAATTGAGAGTGCTGCTCTTACAATTGAATTACTAGTAAGAAAATGGAAAAAGGCCACACCTGCTCACCTTCATGCAACTCACAGATATTATTGGCTGATGTGGTAGAAATTTGTTTTGTGTTTAGAATTATAGTAATGAAAAGGGTGATCAATATAGCTAATATTACTATTGATTCAATATTGCTTTTTTTGTTTAACTTGCATTACTGCTTTGCTGTGATCCATCTCTCTTGTAAGCTCTTTGTTCTCCACTTCAAAGAAATGAAAATACACATCCCTCAATCTATGTCTTGAAGTATTCAATTGCTGCCAAAGGAATGTTTTTAACTTTGGGCTTTAATGGAAGTCTTTAAGACTTTGAGCTACAGCAGATTATATCATTATAATACACTTTAATCTGTGCTATAATTTATAAAAGTGAAGGGGGTTTACATGTATATAAATGGATATACTACTATCAGTGTGAAAAAGCAGTAGATTGAATAGTATAAAAGTCACTAATTTTGTGTATATATAAATTCCTTTTTGAAGCTTTTAGTTGAATTAATCAATTTAAAATCAGATTACTTAGACACAGCAAAGCTAAATATATTGGCATTTTTCTCTCTGACCTTTATGGAATAAACTTAACTCTGCTTTTAATAAATAATTTGGCTGTGAACTTGTTTCTTAGTTAAGCTCTGGAAGGGCAATATTCCATCCTTACTGAAGTCTATGGAAAAATTCTTCTTGACTAAAATGAGGATTGCAGTTCAGTCTTCCTATTTTTTTTCAGTCTTCCTATTTTTTAAGTCATACACCTTACAGAAATTTTAAAGAATGATTCTAAACTTTCTCTATTTTTTTTCATATGGGAACTGTATAGGAAGGAAATTACTGTCTAACACTCAACTACTTGCACAAGAATGCAGAAACTATCCCAGTCACAAAATAGACTAGGTCATAACTTAATGGCAGAGAATAAATTAGATGATATTGTGAAGATATCAAATTAAGCAAGAATTATAAATAATTTCTTAATTAAAGCTGATAAGTAGTTAGTGTTAATTACTGTATTAAAATTAGAACACAGATGAGGATACATTTCTGTATTATTTAAGTTGCAGTTTTAATATCAACAATACTAATGAAAAGTCGCTTTCAGAGCTGGGAATGTGCTGTAGTTAGGATAAAATTGCTCAGACTCATTTGACCATTGATTCCGTTTTTCATCATGTTCTCTTAATGAAAAAAGTTGTAGTCAATCAAACATGACTGTTGTATGATGCAAGGAAAAACACAGATGTTCTAAGTAGATTTTAAACATTATTCTGGTTTTGGTTGCTGTAAACTATAAACTTCTAACTATTACACTTCATATGAATAATCTTTGTTTTTAAAGAGACATTATTTTTATAAGAAGAAATATATGCTTTTGGTGTCTGAATAATTTGATCTTAAGGCACAGGAATAACAAAATATGCTTTGGGGCTTGCAATCTCAAGCCAGCTTGCTATATCTGACATTTATCTGCCCCCATTCAATTTTGCTCTGGGGGAGGACCAGCAACTCTTTGATTAATTTACAACTGCTTCAATATAAAATCTTAGTTGTGGCATTATGATGGCAGGTCAGCAGCAATACCCCTTTGAAGGTGCTGCCTTTGAAAGGCTGGAAGGCTCTGGATGTCACTTACAGATTTTTTTACTGTTTTTTTCTCTACATTCTGTTGAAGATTTTTTTTCCATTGCTCATAATCATGCTGAGGAATGAGGTCTTAGCCACACATTTATAAAACTCTATGTTCATGTGAGCAATTGCAGAGTAAGAAAAGGGCAAAAGAGCCTATGAGTATATTTTATGAAAACTTATTCTGTTTCATAAATTCTGCTAGCAGCAAGGATCTAATTCAGCTGCTGTCGTATTTCGGGCCACCTTGGAGGTACTCACGAAAAATGATGTAACTTCAAACGTCCCATTACCCCATCAAAGGATTAATAGGAAACAATGCTTCTTGAGAAAGGCTCTGCATTGCTTCTTCCCTGCTGGGGTAAGTCCCAGACAGCTGGCTAACCTGTGTTAATAGTCTCTTTTCTGTCATCAGACTCCTGTGAAAAGGTGTAGGAAAGCTGGAAAAGTGCTGTCTTTCCCTTTTGACACGTGGCATTGCATTTGTATCTTTTCCCCCTCCCTTATGAACTCACTTGGAATTCAAAAAGCACTTACATGAGAAGATGGTTCTGCAGATAATCCTGACTTTAGTTTCTGTCTTTATCAAGACTATACTATTCTATACTTATTTGAAACGCACGTTTGCCTTCTCTAGTTGAATTATTCTTAAAATCTTGGTTATTTCTGAAGAATATTAATTGTGGTGGTGACATACAAAGACATTTGCTTAAGAGACATGACTGTTAGTCACACTAACCAACAAACAAAACCTTTGAAACCAAGCAGCACCTGCGTGTATATTTCTATTACTGACTCCATGCCTGAGTTCCTGGGCTTATACCCTAATAAATAAAAAGAAAAAAAAGTTAATTTTATGGTGCAATTTCGTGAGAAGAAGGTTACTTGTGACTTTTCTTTACATTCACTAAGCCAATCTGGTGCATGTTCTGACATTCTAAGGTCACTTAAAATATCTTTCTCTAGATTTATACATGCTATATGGAAAAAAAAAAGGGAAAACAAACATTAGGAAAAGGAACACTGAATCACAGTAATTTAAAGTTTATGATTCATTACAGTTTGCATACTTTAGTTTAATTCTTTTCTAGATTTTGTTCTGTATGATTTTTCGTTGTAAGAATGACATTTGGGGAAAAAGAAAAAAAGAGAGATTCCATCCTCTGTGCAAGAAATCTATTTTAAGACTTTTTCTTTCTTTCTTTCTTCTCCCTGTGTGGTTCACAAAGATGAAAAAAATGTATTGATCTTAGCAAGAGATCAATAGGCAGAGCCATTCACAATTAGACATTCTGCAGAAAATAACTTGAATCAAATTAACCTGGAGCACCTGCTGCATTTTTACCAGGTAACCTTGCTCTCAAGCAGGTTTTAAGTATAATAAATTATATATATGTGGTAAAAAAAGGTGCGTTGTGAATTGGTAAAGATATACTCACTAGGTTGCCCTGTAATCCACTTTGTAATCACACATTAGTATATCTTTTATGCTTTGAGATTACAGGGTTTTATTTCAAAAAAATGGTGGTCATACTGTTCTTATTACTTTTACTTCTAAAGGTCATGTTACAGTTGTCAAAAATAAGCATAGATCTTGGTATTAATATTTTAAAACACAATGCCAGCAAGCCCATATTGTTACTCTCCCCATGGTAATTTAAGGTTGGGGATCTTTACTGATTAAACCCTTCATTTTAATTTTCAACATTTGCATTTAAAAGGTAGCTCCTTTGACTGGTAATAAATGAGGCATTGGTTATATTTAATAACTCCTATGCATTGTGGTGTCACAGCAGACCCACAAGATCTTACATGCTGTCACATTTAGGATGATAGATTTTTTTAAACTGCGTTGCATAAAGATGAATCTTTTGTGCTACCTTGTAAGGTTGCCATGGTGACAGAGCACTGCTTCATGGGAATTTCACTTTTCTGGTAACGTTAGATACTGAACCCAAAGCTTCTTCTTTAGATTGTTCTTAAATCTCACTTTTAATACGATAACATTTTGTAGAGTCTTATAATTCATATTTTGTATCTTTATTTGCTCAGAAATGTCTCCTATAATGCTGTCATAGGTAAAGTACTAAAAGTTGACTTACCAAATGATGAGCATGGTAGACACTCAAAAGATTTTGGGGTTTTTTATGTTCCACGCCATTGCTCCATTTTATAAATATTTTGGATGTGTTTTGCAATTCCACACTTTCTCTGAACTATAAAAAGAAAGATCTGAGACCTCTAGCTGTGGAAATATTTCTATAATGGGAAAACATTACAGATAATATGCTGTAGAGAGATAAACCCTATATTTCTTTTTTTAAATTATTTTGACAGAAAATGAATTTAAATCATATCTATATACGGAAAATGGTTACAAAATTACATCTGCAAATAAAGTCCCTTTTTTTTTTTTTTTTTTTTTTTTGTGGAGTTATTGTGCATTTCTCTGTAACAGGTAATGTTTTTTATCATCCTGTATGCATAAGAAATCATATGGGAACTTCAGTTGATCTGACATTCATAAGCCAATGATTTTTTTACCTTAACAAATAAAAATGACTGACATGGAAATCTTTATTCCCTGCCCAAAGCCCCTATTTCTGAATGCTTGGTTGTGGATTGTTCACTGTGCTGAATCAGCCAGAACTATAATGTTCTCAAGATACAGCCAACTCTTTGACGTATGGCAGAAAATATATACATGGATATAAGTCCTACCATTTGGTACCCAGTTGGAGCTCCCTAGCTATGCTAATGAAATTCATGCAACAGGAATATTTTTCTGGTGGAAGGATCTCTTGCTGTGTTCAGATGAAAACAGATAAAATAAAGTGCTTTCCTGAGGAAAGTGTTAGAAATTGTTCTGCACGTTCTCTGGCCCCATTCACATTGAATGTTCCCCCAGAGTGCTGCAGCATTTGTTCAGAGCGCCTATGGGAAAACCTGGCAAACAACTCACAGATGACTGAGCCAACTGAGAACAGGTGCTGAAAGATGTGAGAGCCTCTTCCTGCATGGGGAGAGATGTCATTGGGCTCTCTGCTAATTAAACGGGCCTTCCTTTCCCTCTTACACCCATTTGAAGCAGTCTTGGAAAAAAGAAGTTGAAAAGTCAAAAAAAAGGGAAGCCTCAGGGAGAATGGCATGAAGTGAGGGAAGACCTTTGTTTCTCACCTACTTGCAAAATTTTAAATCTCTTCCATCCAATATTAGTGTTTAAACATATCTACAAACTGTCCTGCTGTTAGTGAAATCCTTAATTGCCTCTAAACTTGCATGCTGTCCTCATTTTCATAAACTTGGCAATGATAAGGTTTACATGGACCTTTTGTGCTTGATGTCTTTCTCCTTCAAACTAAGTAGCATTTCAAATGTTTGCATCATGTTGCTTACATGAAGAACTAAAAGCTGTTCAGCAGGCAGCTTGTTCAATATCCTTTTTTCTTCCTTTTTTTTTTTTTTTTTGGTGTAATATTCTTATCACTAATAGAGTTTCTGTATGAAGAGCAAGAACTTTTAAAAATGTTTCTTTTACTTGAGTGGGAAACCTCTGGTTTTGTTATTTTTCTTAAAAGCTACTAAATGTCAACATGTGCTCTAAAATCATCATTGATACAAATAATTTGCCTGTTCCACAAATAATTAGAATTGTGTTAATTAATTTTAAACTAAAATTTTAGAAGCATCATTAATAGAAAACATGAGGCTAGCAAAGCTTTTGTTTTCATATTTCATAAATAACTTAAGCTTCAACATTTTTCTCCAGACTATCACTGTCTTTGAAAATGTAATACAATTTCAATAAATTGTCTATAAAACGTGTAATTAATGGTAGATTACATTACTATAATTAAAATCACTGCATTCTTAATAGTAGATAAGTTGACAAACTGGTAAGGAAGGCTTCAAAAAACTACCACTCCTATTACTGTGCTTATTCTAAATGATATTGGTAATTCCCCACTCTATGTAAATTATTATATGTAGAGAGCCTCATGTCCTCAAATACCTGTTCATCAAGGGCGATCTTAGTTCTTCTGGCATCTCCTCAAATATTAACATCTTTTTTTCTTAAAGAGGGAATGTTCCCCTGTTCAAGAGGTTCAACATGCATGTGACTTTTTAAATCTACTGCAGTAGATAAAAGAAGATATGAAGACTCAGATCTTGAGCTGCCTTCTCCATCATAATATAAATTCAGGCATATTTGGGATAACAAGCCATACACTGTGATCAGAAAATCTTCTTTTTCTATTAGCACCTACTTCTATGTGATAAAGAATGCTTTTATAGGGAAATGAACCAATATTCTCTCTCTGCCAACCAGAGAGGGAAGACAGACATTATTTTTAATAACCAACAGTTCTTACTGTCCTAAATTATTCCTAATTGATTGTTTTAACAGAAGCACTATTTTTTTTCACATACATGAATAGCAGAAAAATCACTTTCACTTCAGATACAAGCTGTATCCAGGAATCCTGCAGTATTATCATTGCAAATAAAGTGCAATGACCCCTAATATACAAAAGGTGAAATACTCTGATAACACTCAGATTTCTATTTACTGTGCTGACTCACTTCTGTGCAATCTCCCTTTTGCATCCCTCCCTGTAATAAGGAAGTTGTACTCTGCAAAAAAAGATTAATTCATTCTCCATCTGCCTGATGAGGTTCACACCAATTTCTTTCAAAAAATTAGCAATTTTTTTTACAAGCTTATTTTTCACTTTGAACATGCTGAAAGGTATTGTGTGGCAGGAATGTAGCAGGATGCTGCTGGATATTTCCCATAAGCAACGCTAAATTGTCAGACAATTTGAGTGCTCTTCAAGAGCTCTGTATCTATTGATGCATTTATTTATTCAAATGCAATTTGAATAAATAAATGCAATAAAATAAATACAATTTGCCTCAGTGTAGCTTCAGAAACTCACTTAAGCAGCAGCATAGTTGAAGCTTGTGCAGGGTAGGAAAAAGGCAAGAATCAAGAATAAGATTTGGATAGTTTCTTCCATAAATTAATGTTATCTTCCTGCACATGTCTGAGCAGGGATCAGTAGTAAAGCAAACCAACACCTCCCAGGAGAGAGAACTATGTCCTCTCTCATATAACCTTAAAATAAGACCTAAACAATCAAGTTAAGTTAGAGAGATACTTATTTTACAGCAAATTTATCTGAAATACATTTATTTTATAGTACATTCCTCAGCTTTGTTTTCAAATTATGTTTGACATATATTGTTAAGTCATTGATAAAGTGCTCTGAAGAGTGATTCTACATTAATAAATACATTGGAAAAGCAAATAAAGTACTGCCTACTGTATTTCTGTTTTTAAATGGGAATAGATAGTTATATATTCTGTGCAAAAAGCAGTCAAAAATAACAACCCTTTAAAAATAGAGTCATCTTAGTAGTAATTAAAAAAGCTTAATGAACCAGATTTTTAACTTGATGGTTTGCGTTGTTTTTCAAAAAATATGTTAGTTCTGGAAAACCTCTCCATCTTAAACAGTATGCACTAGTTAAGGATCTGATCTATTTTCATCATTTCCATGGTTAACATCTCTGCTCCTCACTGAAGACAGCCTCACTAAGGGTGAGCATTCTTAGCTTCTGCTGCAAATTGAGTTATAAGAACTTTGTCATTTGTTGTTGTTGTATTTGTTTATTTAAATTAGCACTTAAAGTGGAACAAAGAACCTCATAGGAGCACTCTCAGGTAGAAGTTTTGTAGACAAGACATAGATGTTTCTTTGGTTTCTGTCATCTAAGTATGTTTCTTATTTGGTTGGTTCCTTGTTAATCAGTGAACAAAGACACAATGCTCCAGCAATGTTGGAAAGAGCCCTGTTGAGCCTATGACCTTGAGCTTTATTTAAATTAGTAAAGTTCTCTGAGTGGTTTTGGAGGTGATAAGAAGTAGGCCAAGGAAAGCAATTGGAAGGTTGTTTACTAGGTAATATACTGGTGTCAGAGGGGATTTTTTACCTCTAGGAACCAGCATATCATAACTCCATAACAGAGTAATAACATTATAAAATGTTTATATTTGCTTTAGGCCTTTGTGATCAAAATATAATTCCTTCTCTATACGAAAAGCTGGATTCTAAAAACTTTTTTTTTTTTTTTTATTCCCATACGAACTGGGTTTTCAGGACTTTCTGTGAAGTGACACATTTTGTCGATGTTGGCTATTACCGAAATAGTGTTGATGTGAGATTCATTGAATCATAATCAAAAAAGGATACACGGCTACAAATGTGGATGCAATCTGGAGCCTTTTTGGCCACATGCTCAGCCTGAGTATCACATGTGCTGCAGCGACTTACCTCATCGCATTGCCTTATGGAATTGGCTTCTGCATTTAAACTGCACCCTGGCCAGAGGAATTCCTAGGACACTTCTAAATGCATGTTAGGTATTCTCTAGAAGTATATGCATTTTTTTTCTGGCAGGCTCTGACAGGACTTTAGAAATAAGTTGAGTGTGCTGTAGAGAATCACCTAAATATGTGTGGGAAAGAAAGGGACTGTTGAGAAGTCCTTGAAAGTGTATGCAAACCTTACTAATTTGGGCTTCATTTAAGAGTTTCTGAGATCATAAACCATAATGTGCAGTGGGGAACAGAGTTATGTTCTAACCCACTTTAACACTGACACACATTCAAAGGCAGTGACAAATTAAAGGATAGATGATTCTTAAACTGTTTAATTAATTTAGCCTTCCAGGGAAGAAACACAACTTTTCAACTCTATAGAAAGTTGTGCATTTATTCCTCCTCGTCAAAAGATATTTATTTACTTTTGTAATGACAATTTATCTGTGGGGTTTTTTTTTAACTATTACTATTAATTTTATTAATTAATACAATTTATAGAATTATATAACTATTTCAGCTGTCTAGAAGCACCTAGAATGAGGTTGTAAAGAGGTGGGGGTTGTCCCTTCTCCCAAGTAAAAAGCAATGGGACAAGAGGAAATGGCCTCAAGTTGTGCCAGGGGAGTTTTAGATTGCATATAATGGAAAACTTCTTCATGGGAAGGTTCTGAAACACTAGAATAAGCTGCCCAGGGGGGGTTTGAGTCACCATCCCTGAAGGCATTTAGGAGTTGTGTACGTGGGAGACTTAGGGAAATGGTTTAGTGGTGGCTTAACAGTTGGACTAGATGATCTTAAAAGTCTTTTCCAGCCTAAATGTTTGATTTGGAGAACTCTTATTCTTAATTATATTGTTGTATATTTATTTCTATTTAATTAATATTTATAATAACCAGGAGAATGTAAACATTATAAATACCCAGTGTCTCTCTTTGTGAATATTAGAAGACATATACCTTCCTTTTTACACTGGAAAAAAGTGTATGAACCTTCTCATAGTTATCTGAAAATGTGAGAGATGATGTGAGAAGAGTCTTATTTCCAGAGTAAGAAATCTTCTTTCTAGGCTCTAAATAGATGAGGGTGCTGTAATATATTTAGGATACTGTTGGACTGAGTTTGTATTGATAGAAAACGAAGACAAATGCTGTAGGTAAAAGTGACCTTGCTTCCTATTTTAAGACAATCAAGAGTTTCCACATAACTACAATCAGTATTCAAGTGTCCTCTGACTGCTTATAATTGCTGGTGCAGATGCATTGAACTTGTTCTCCATTTTCTCCTTATGTCCCACCTTGTTCACACTGAGAACCAGAGCAAAGGCCTTCCCTCACTCCTTCCCTCCATATCAAATCAAGCCCAAGCATGATAGGCCAGAATATTAATAAAAAAAACCAACCAGTTTTCCAGGATCTTTATGGCCCAATATAATTAAACTAAAATATGTTATAATTATGTCTAGCTACAAAAATAGAAAGTAATAGGGTGCTATTTTTTCCTAGTGCTGAAAATGCATTTAGGTCACTGTGTTCTTTCAAGGAAAGGTCTATGCTACTTTATCACCACCTGGAAGAGAGTTGTGGTAATTTCATGGAATCAAAGAATGCTTGGATTGGAAGGGACCTTAAAGAAGAATTAGTTCTGCCCTCCTGCCATGGGCAGAGACACTTTCCACTAGACCTGGCTGCTCAGAGCCCCATCCAACCTGGCCTTGAACACTTCCAGGGGTGAAAAGGGGTGGGGCATCCACAGCTTCTCTGGGCAACCTATTCCAGTGCCGTACCAGCCTCACAGTAGAGAATTTCTTCCTAATTTCTAATCTAAGCCTTTTTTGCTTGGCAATTTCTTGGATTTCTTTGCAGGTGTTTTAATTGATTCCTGTTAAGAAAAAAAAAAGAAAAATCCTAAAACTTGAAAAAGTTGTGTTGACATGACAGATCTTTTACATTATGTCCTAAGGTGTTGAATCAAATTGCAGACTCTTCTTGTTACCTGGGCCAACAGATGCTATAGACAGCTGCAAAGCTACTTCTAATAAAAAGGATTTTAATTGACCATGACATCTGAGACATTTTTCAACTATATTTAAAGAACTGTCTGCATTAACGTCTACCTTAGAAAAAAAATCATAGCTTTTATTTTATTACTTAATATACATTTTGGATTTTAAAAGATAATTTTTCATTTCTAGTCTATGGGCTAAATTACTATTTTGATGAAGCAATTCACAAATACTTTTATAGAACAGCTGGGATTTTTGGCATGTTCCCTGCTGACAGTTCTTAAGAAATATGTACCGCTACCCAAGATTTTACATCTATTGAGGTCTTTTTAGGATCAGGCTGTTGCAGGCAGACAAGGTGTTGGTGTGGATTTTCACCAAGTACTAAACTATCTTCTTTCTTTCCCTGTGCCACTTCAATATTACAATATTCCTTTTTTAAAATAAATATATATCCATCCTAATTTGAACTTTTGCTAAGACAGCTCTATATATAGTGTTGTATGATATTATTTCAAGTCATGCATATTTTATTTATATCTTTCCTAACTTCAAAATCTACAGCCATATGTTTCAGCCATATATCAGCAGGGCTGAGCATCTGCTCTCTACAAAGATGAAGTAGTTTCAGGGGAAGCTGCAAGTGATAAAACCCTTTTCAAATCCAAATTCAGAGAATCACAGCACAGTTGGTGCTTGAAGGGATTTGTGGAGATCTAGTCCAGCTCCCCCTGCCAAAGCAGGTTCACCTACAGCAGCTTGCTGGGATCACTCCCAGCCAGGTTTGGAATATCTGAAAAGAAGACTTTACAATCTCTCTGGGCAGCTTGTTCCAGTGCTCTGCCACCATCAAACTAAAGACATTTTTCCTCATAGTCAGATGGAACTTTCTGTGTTTCAGTTTGTGTCCATTCCTCTCTCTTTTGTCACAGGGAACCACTGAAAATAGTCTGGCTCCATCCTATAGACAGCTACCCTTAAGAGGTTTGTGAGCACAGATAAAGTCCTGTCTCAGTCTTCTCCAGCTTAAACAGACCCAGATCCCTCATCCTTTCCTCCACTCCCTCTGCCATTTTCATAGCCCCCTGCTGGACCACCCCCATCAATTCCTTGTTTTTCTTGAACTGGGAAGCCCAGGATTGGACATGGTGCTCCAGAGGGAGTGTCACTAGCTCAGAGTAGGGTGAGGATCATTTCCCTTGACCTGCTGGCCACACCCTTCCTCATGCACAGAATTTGTCTGTCTTATTTCATTGCTTAATACCTCCCTCTGAGCTAGCAGGATAGCAATGAATCTCATCACAGATATGGAACTACATTTTAAAAAAGCATTTTAGAAATAATGCAGTGGGCCAGGCATGAGTAAGCTGGAGCTACAGTTTTCTGTCTCACACAGTCATTCAGATAATATTTCAGGGCTATGTGGCTGAATCTTGATTGGAAAACTGTCCCAAAACAGTAGTGTGAGTTATTATCACAATAATTATTATTATGAAGGAAAAGGGTGGAGATTATTGGAACCACATAAAGAAGCATTAGTGCTCTATAGCTCCTCAACTAGGATACCTAAGGATCCCAGACTAGGATTTAGCTAGAAAGGGCAGGAAGGAGCAGGTGTTGACTGCCTCTAGCACAAAAGTGTGTGCAAAATTCCAGAGCCAGACAGAAAGCTGAAATCCCATTCAGGATCACTGTAAGTAAGAATTAATTTTTTAAAAAAATATAATTCTTTAGGACATCATAGTCCCTATTCAACAGTTAGGACAGTGTAGTCAAGGTCTGCCCCTCTGGATTTGTCCTCTTGTGCCAAAGATGTCTTTTGCAGACATAAACCAAGCAGTTTCTATCAAATTTGGTTCTGTCTTAATGTAAACCTTTCCCCTCTAGGACTGTATTTGATTGCTTGTATGCTTATTTTTATTTTCTTCAACTACTTGTGGGAAATTAATGCATTTCTCAGTTTTTTTTTTACTAAAGAGAAAAGTATATGCTGAAGAAAAAGCCATACATCAGGGTTAATATTTACCTCATTTACTAAACTTTGGGACCATTTGGAGACATCCTCTTTCAGGAAAAGTACTGCCAGTTCAGCATAATTTTTTCATAGCCTGATATAAATCTTTGATATCCAGTTCTGGAGGGAGAAAAAGAATGGAAATAATTTAAAACTACATTCTGCGTTGTATTCTTCAAAAAGACTGGCTTCTGCTAAAGCAGAATTCAAACAACAGATGAGATATGTCCCTCGTGGTACAGATGATGTGTTAAAGAAAAAGTACTCACTGTGTGAATCAGGGATTGTTGAGATTATACAATTAAGGAGCTTTTTAATTTTAGGCCTTCAGAATTTTGGGGAAGCTCTCTTAATGCATGCCAAAATGTGAATGTGGCCACCTTCTGAAATTTCTCCAAGTTTATTCCTACCACATTTTGCTTCAGATGAGCCTGCCTGTGTATTAAATGCAGAAAGAGCTCTCTGTTTGGGTGTTGGTTTTTGATATCCATTCTCTAACACCAATGGTTCTAAGATCTGGATCTATGCTAAGAAAATAAAATTATATTTTGATTCTAGGTGAGACCGAAACTCAGGAGATTTCAAAATTATTATGGGCTTTTCATTTTATTCCTGTGTCTTCTGAGGTCTGGGTTTGGCTTTCCAGCTTTGTTCATTAGGGTAGTGGAAGCTGAAATTGTTATACACCACATCTCCTAAGTGGGAACTACTTCCTCAGCTTCTTTTCCCACTTTTCTACAGTATACAAATGTTGTGTAAAAAACCCCAAAAAAACAAAAACTGAAACTATCTAGCTCCATATTAGAAACATTTTTCTAAGTGGAATTTGGAATGTAAAGACAGTTGGCCACTACAGGACATTAAATACTTGGGATCACCACCAGTTAAAGCATCATTTATTGAAACTGAAATTGCAGGTATGCCCAAAATTAGGATTTTGCTACTCCCTGTCACAAAAGGATTTCTTTAATCCAGGGAGTCCAATGTCTTGACGTAAACTATAGGCTTATAATTCAATAATAATTAAAAGTCATATAAAATGCTGAAAGACAGATTTAATATTGGAATCGTGGATTTAATATTTCCCACCTCTATGCCTTTTCCCTTGAATATTCAGAGAGATATCCAAATTGTTTCCACTGACATTGTTAGTAAGCTTGACTCATAAGGGCTTTATAGAATTATAATACTTTATCCTTTGCTGAAAATATTGTGGGCAGAAACAAACAGGGGATTTCTGGGGAAGAGGAATGTGCAAAAAAAATTTTATTTGCTTTAAGAGTCCTGTCTGTTTGTTTGGAATGAGTTTCTTTTCTGATTTCAGGGCATCTTAGGGAGATTATTTATTCCTTTCTAAAACCTACCTGATAAAGTGACTTTTAATAATTCATCTCCTTGCCTCACATAATTAAATGACTTATAATGTAAGCATTTAAACAGAGATTTAGATTGCAAAGTAAGCTCAAGTACCCATGACACAAAGCTGTAATGTCCTTTTGCTCATTGGCATTTCCAAAAGAGATCCATGCCTAAATATCTCCCAAAGATTTTATCAAGGGATCATTTAACTCTGCTTAAAAAATTGTCTGGGTAGTTCTACATTGTGAAAATTATCAGAAACTTCCCAACTATTATACCAGGATGGTATGCAAAATATCATATAGAGATACTGGCACTGTTCCCAGAAACAACAGGCCCAGACTTTAAAAAAAAAGACAAAACAAAACCCCCCACCCCTCCTGCTTTTCTGGAGAAAAGCTTAGCTAGTTTAGACACAAGGAATCAATGATGCAGATAGCTCCTTCCCATTCTTGACTAGATAATTCACTTTCATCTCAAGGAGCAGATGGGAGATACATATATACCCTACATGTAGCACAGATTGGAAAGGTTTTTAAAAAAATTATACTGGGGTGTTGTCAGCTACCTTTTCCAAGACTAGAATTTCTAATTCCCATTTATTTTACCACTCATTGGGAAGATTTAAAATATGCTCAAAAGTTGATACCTTTAATCCTCTTTCAGGTCACATGCAGAATTTTCTAATAGCTTAAAATCTGAGGTTTTTTTTCCCAGGTTGGTAGACTTTGATGTATACTCTTGATTTGCATCATGCACATGCCAAGTAATTCCAAAAGAAATCTTAAAACAAACCCCCATGCTTTATGTGAACAATTTCACATTGACAATGAAGATGAATTTTTTACACTACTGCAGCAATTCTAAGGCATAAAATTTGTTCTGATCAATCATTAGTCAAGACTCACAGCACATAACTCTGAGATATGAGAGTGAAGAAGATATATTAAAACCAAAAAATGTATAAAACTGGGATAGAATTAGTATTGAATCTGGCATCCAAATAGTACTGGACATAGCCTTCTAACAGCAAAATCTGTATATCATCTATGAAATTATTGCTGAATTGGAATTATTTATTGATGAAAACTGTTCATGTCTGCTTTTAAAATCTTCAGAAGTTGTATCTAGGGGAAAAGACAATTGCTGAGGTTAGGGAGTAGCTGTAAGGTGTCAGATAGCAAAACCAGAGCGTAGCAAAGGTTCTGCTCCCCATTTGTGGGATAAAAAATAGAAACTGCTTGTTTTTCTTCTCTTTAATGAATTTAGATATTCAGTACAGATGCCCTGGTCACCTCTTGAACAATAATATGTTTCCTCCATCCCTAGAGATGCATTTTTACTACCTCAAAAATCTTCCAATTGTAAATTCCAGCTGCAGAAAATCCTCAGTGTTTCCACATAAACTCATGAAATGCAGCTTTCCTGAACAGCATCCAATTTGCTAACTTCTCCAATAATTTGTCTATTATAATTTCAATAGGAATTATCTTCATACTGTGTTTTTACAGTGGCTAGAATAGCTTGAAAAGATATTAAATTCCCATATTACAAAAATGAAAATTAGTTCATCAAACAGCTTTTATTTCCAGTACTCTCTTCATTTTCTATGGGCTTTCTCAAGCTTGTTTACAAATGTAGTAGATCAATATAATTTTTCAGTGAAGTTGGTGTGAGAAATGATTACACAAATTACTCTGTCCATTATAAGATATCATCATGTCTTTCTTTTTTCATCCCTCAGACCATAATTTCAGCCTTTTAACCTTGGAGTAGAAAATAAATGTTATAAATTATGTTCCTCAGACAGGAAGGTGTGACAATCTATGACTAACTTTGGGCTTTTATTAATGGTCTCTTTCTTTAAACTCTGAGGATATGGTTCATTGAGAAAAGGCCAAATATTAGTCAAAGAGTAAGACTTCATGTTGCTTGAAAACGCAGATGAAAGTATGTTCTTTTTTTTTTTTTTTTTTTTTTTTGCAAATTGAACAATAACTATGAAGCAACAAGGGGAAAGAAGAATTTTTTTTTTTTTTTGAAAACAGAAAAACACTTGTTGTCTTTAGGGAAGAAGAAAAAATGGTTGCTTTGTTTCTTGAAAATGCTATAATTTTGAGACTGAGAGAGGAGTATAAATACCATGAGGACATAGACTTCAGCCGCAGAGCAGGCTGGTACCTTTTTCGATAATTACGGTTTCAGCTGGAGTTGCTGGGTCTGTACCAATTCACTCCAGCAAACTGCCAAGTCATAAATATATTTCAGCTTTGTTGGCTTCCATTACAACTCCAGTGACCTTTAGCTGAACAAAAAACTTTTTTTAACTAAGGCCTTTTCTACTTTTCAATTAGATATATTTGTCTGTTTTCCCTTGATATGTGTCTGTGGCACTGCAAGAAGGTTTTTAATTTCTTTTAGAACAAAAGCAGCGGAAAACTGTCCCAGCTGCACAAATGGAAATAACTATTCAATTTAAAGAGATGTTAACTAGAGATGACTCTTGGCAGGAGACAATTGACCTTTGTTAAATGTGGTATCTCTCTCTCTTCCCTAAGTGAAAGTGAATGAGCCATAGTGGTCAATTATCTCTTCATAGTGACCAATTCATTGGTTGTTGACATTTAATTAGATGTACAAAAATAAACCTGTTGTAAAAAGTACACAAATATCAATAATCAGGTTTACTTAGTTCTAAAAACAAGACTTAATTGAATTTTAATGTTTTTTTCCTTAGTATGGGATCTTTATGTAAATTTCTACCAGCAAGTTTCACCATTTCGTAGCTACATTGTCCTTCTCACTAATCGACATTCTACAGCAGAAACTCTCCTGTATTTTTTTCTCCATCTGTCTGTATTTCTTTTTAGTCTAAAATTACAAATTAGAGGAAAAAAATAAGAGGTTTTGAATTCTATAAAGTAATGTAACCCAAACTTTTTATTGCAAAACATGGGTACTAGGAATCTCTATACAAACTTTTAGGTAGATATTAAATGGCTCTTTTAAAGTGATGAAGTTGGTTAAGTTTCAAACTGCAAATGAGAAGTGTATATGTCTGTTAATTGACTTAGATCTTATACTTGGTATTTAGCAAGTTGTTGACCTATATTATGCTGACCTATGTAGACTCCAGTTTATGATGGCTGTTTATAACCTTTATAAAGTCATAACAAAATTTTATATAAAGAACTTACTAACTTTACTGTTACAGTACTGGAACAATAACCATAGGTTAAAGATTCTACTGAGACATATAGAAACATACCATATTGTCCTAACCTGATTAATTTTTATGCTAGATCTTCATCTCAAAAAGAATTTTTTAATATATATAATTATATATGAGGAAGTCCCCAAGTCCTTAATTAGCCAAGTGGTAAATATATCAGAAATTAATTTAGTAATCTTTTTGATTTATTAAAAAAATATGGATATTGATCTAGTACCGATATCCAACTGTGACGGACAAAAACTCTCTAACAGTTTAAAGTTAGAAAGTGTGTGTTTATTGTGTGTGGGATAGCTCCCAAATACACACCGCAGCTTCCAGGTGATACAGAGTCCTTTTATCCATACAAGTACTCAAAACCCAAAATACAAATACATATTCATCATTTTGGTACATCCCATTCCTCGCTTATATGCTAATCATTTCAAAAGCTATTAAGCATGCATAGTTTGTTTCTTAAAATGGGTCAGTGGTCCCTTTCATGGGAGGGGTACTAAAATGAGGAAGTAAATGAAGTCTTCCTCATTCTGACCTTTCTACCTTTTCAATGCAAATATGACAAATGAATTTTTGGTAGAACTCCCATTCCTTGTCTTCAATTGGTTTCGGAACAGAGGAGGCCCACGACTGTCTTATGTTCCTAAAAGCTATTTGTCAGTCTCTATATTCTTCATTATAAACCCAGCTAAGTAAACATTATGTTGACAAGCAATCAATTATTAGTTAACTACTAACTCCTAATTTTATCAGGGCCTATTCATTTATTTTAATTAACTCTAGTAAGGCTTATCTCTAACTAAAATCTTTGCTCTTCTAAAATCTCTAAATTCCTTAAAATTTATGTTTCATTTTTATATTATGCCAAGATTACCTGAAGTCCTGCAAGCAAAACTGGCTCATCTTTTTAAAGCCCAGTACACATTTTTTCTTAAGAAAATTGACATTTCAAGGTGAGAGGAAATGTACATCCAAAAAGGCATCTCCATGGTCACCCTTTACGCTCACTGACTGAGGGAAGAGTTCTGTGAAAGTGTACCTCACTGCACCCTCCTGCAAAAAGCAGAAAAAGTACTGAAAGCATTTATAATAGTTATTGTTATTATTGCTATTATTATAATGTGATTATGGCTATTCTAGTGCACTATATTTTTTTTCTGTGTTAAAAGAAGTTTGCATCACTACCTAAAAAAATTGGCCTGAGCAAGACACCCAGATTGAGTAGACAACTGTAAGTGCAAAGAGGTCACTTAACAAAATCAGGAAAATAACATTTTATTTTAAAGCACAAGATCTTGATGCCAATGTTATCATATAAGAAGTTCTGTCTTGCAGGTCCAAACAAATACATTATTATATTTCCACATACTGATTGTTAATTAATTTTCTTGACTGTTCTGAACACCTGAGCCAATCTGCTCTAAGGTCCCACTGGGAAAACAGCACAGCTCACAAGAAGCAATGGAAGAACAAAAGCAACCTGTTCCTTTCCCCACTGATGTGGCATTGCAGCATCATCCTTTTTAAAAGAGTAGGATCTAAATGCCTGTAATCTTCTCTTTCTTCATCTGAGTCATTTCCACCTAGAATGTATCTAGAGGCCATCTGAAAACTGGTTGAATCTCTTCTTAAAGCTGGAACTTTGAAAATGCACAAATAAACTCTGTAATCATGCTAAACAATTTTATCATAATGGGGTACAGAAATGATCCTCAAAGGTTGTGCGTTATGCCTCTTTCTTTAAATGCCATCCTTTTAGTTAGTATCATGATAACAATTTTGTTATCAATTAAAAACACGAATTAAAAATAAAAATAAGTGAAATAATTTCTTAGATGAGGAATCGAGATTCATAATAAAATGGATGTTCCCAAAGCAAATTCTAGGAAAGGACTGATGTGTCCTTTCCAGGGACAGACTTGCCAATCAATAAGGACATGCATGGAAGAAATCTCAGTTGTATCATAAACAGTAAAAAATGACAGGGGATGTGGTTAATTATTATAATGGCTTAGTGACTTGAATACTCTGGGGATGTGATTTCTCAATTAAATACACTCCTCAGGTTGCTGCATTGTCACTTTGAAATGTCACTGGTTTTAATCCAAATAGTAATTATTCCAGGATAATACTTTGATCAACGAAGACTGGAAAGTAATGCCTATATCCAGGGAGGTTCTTCCCTTTCCATAACCTGTCCAGTTGTCCATCACATCTTTGGGAATTACTGTTACTCTGTATGAACTGTACCTGAGTCAGGCAGTTGTAAAATTTACCCTTCAGCAACCTTAAATATTAAATTATCCGTTCAAAAAGAAAAGGTTTTCATCCAATATTCAGAGTTTATATAAATTTGACAGTCTTTTGTGAAATTAAATACAAAAATCAAAAGTATCATTTAAAAATATGTGTAAGGCAATAAATGTCAAAACTGACTTTTTTTTAAATTCATAAAATACAAAGATTAATATTGATAAACTTACATGGGAATCTTTTTAGAAAAAAAACACAAAACTAAACACACCAGAAATACTGGTAATATTAGTAGAAAAACTGTGTGTTTTTCTTTTTAGATTATTATTTATAGAAATATTCTGTACAGTCTGAAATAGAATATAGAATTTGAAAATAAATAGGAATTTTTAATAGCTATATTATTACTTTGAGTATTAGCTAATTTTAAGCTGTATCTTGGAGAAAATATTTTAATCAACAGAGCTTTTTTGAAATTCTATTGCATAACATGTATCAAATAAATACACATTATCACATCATTTGAGGATAGCCCCAGGTGAAATCAAAATTTCCCATAGGGCAGAAATCTGATTGTGTTCATTTCTGGGGAGAAGATCTTGTGCTTGTTTCCATACATTTGACAATACTCTCAGAACACCTTTGAGATTTACAAATAGGATATTAAGTAGCAGGTTGAAAACAATTTTTTTCCTAAGACAAAATCTGTAACAAATTATTATTTCTAGAAAGAAATGCAAGAAGATAAATTTAGGTGGAGCGAGGTATTTTGTAAAACTCTATTTTTTAACTAGATGATATTCATGGTAGAGGATATAACTTCTAGCTAGACATGTATATTCTTCTCCAGTGTCATGCTCATTGGACCAATCTGCAAAGTAAAAAAAATACATTTTTGTTTTGTTAATTCAGCTTACTAAGGAAATTAAAAGTTAAAAATCTCTATGCTTTTGAAAATGAATTAAATCAATGCATATATTACCTGTCTCACCTGAAGGTGCCTGACAAAATACTCAATATTGGGTAAAAATGTTAAAATTTGCTTGTGATTTTTTGTACTCTGATCATCTGCTCTTGATCAGGACATGAAGAATTACAAACCAGCCTAAAGAAGTGATTCTCAGTCTAAAGAGATGATTCTGAGTCTAAAGAGACAATTATCCCACAGTGTTCAGTATTGTTGCAGCCTCATCCCCAGCACTGTGGGTAGTTCTGGGCCCCACAATTTAAGAAGGACCTGGACGTCCTTGAATGCATCCATTAGGAGGGCAATAAAGCCCATGTAGGTTAATGGGCTCCAAGGAATGTCCTGTGAGCAGTAGGTAAGGGCTTTAGAGTTGCCCAGTTTGGAAAAAAAGGAGACTGAGGGACAGCCTCACTGCTCTCTGCATCCTCCTGGGTAGGGAAGTGCGGAGGGAGCAGCTGAGCTCTTCTCCCTGGTGTCCAGTGACAGGATGTGTGGGAATGGCTCCAAACTGTCAGGGTAGGTTTAGAGTGGACATTTCTT